ACCACCACCAACACCCCCGCCACCACCACCACCACCACAACCAGCAGCAGCAGCAGCAGCAGCAGCAACAGCAGCAGCAGCAGCACTACAGCACCTGCAGCGCCAGCAGCACCACCAGAACCATTAGCGGTCCCCTATAATATGGGTACTAATTATAATTACCTTACTTCTAACCCCACTTGTAACGGCCCTGTAGTTAAACCATGCTAAACCCTAAACCCTAAGCCCCTAAACCTCAACCTCCAAATATAGCGCCCCTACAGATCCCTTAGACAAACCTCCGAAAAATTTTAGGGCCTCGGGGAACTTACGGGTTTAGGGCGCTTTAGAGTCAGTTCCTGTGTAGGGTATCGGGATCTCGCGACTTTAGCTCCCAAGCCTTCCACTATGCAGCTCCTTTTGAGGTTGAGGGGGGCCTGTTAATCAATGGAAGGTCCCTCACTCGGAACTTTCCAGCGTCGTTGATGTTGTGGATAAGAGCAATTTGATATTTGACGTAAGTCATCCTGGCAGCAACGATCGCGTGTTCCATGGTTTGCAAGCAAAAATGACTGGAAGCGGTTTTTCCGCCAACGAAAAAGACACTTGGACCAGGGCGATGGCAACAAAGGATGCGCCATGTCGTTTACAAGTGTGCAGCTGCTGCAGGGGAGACAGATGCACAGAAAGTTCGGTGAAGGAAACGATGTACCCAAGAAGGCGGGCAAATGTGACGATGGTGGTGCTGGTGGTGGTGGTGGTGGTAGTGGTGGTTGTGGTGGTGGTGGTGCTGGTGGTGGTTACGGTGTTGGTGGTGTTGGCAAGCGTAAAGCCCTAGCCCCTAACTCGCTCTTTCCCGTACGCTTTTCAACGGTTTGAGGCTTGGAAGGTTTAGGGTTTCAACCAATAGCGAGCCCCAGAGACTCCCAAAGTTCCAAAGTGCAGTCCTACGAAGCCGGATAGTGGTTTAGGGGTGAGGACGCAATTAAATTCAGTCTTGACCAACCTGCAAGTACCCTAAACCCTAAACCCTCAACCCTAAACCGTGTGCTGCAAGTAGTTGTCGGTGGGGCTTGGGATATGACGTAGGGGTACCGGTAATACAGGCATGATGCAGCCGACATTGGTGATTACATACCATAAATGTTGCCATGAGGAGAACCGAGTGACTAGAAGATATTCCCGACATGACACAACTTTGGCGTTTATCCATTCGGCCCCCCCAGTTTACGCAGCCATGAGGTACTTCAAGGATCATCGCTACATGCAGCTGGGCGTACATGAGCAAGCTCAGGGTAATTGCACAATGCTTGAAGAGTGTCCCGCAGTTTTTTTGGAAAGCGCTGGGTGCTGGGATCCTTGCTTTGCAAGGGGAGGGTAGGACGAAGTTTTTCCACGTCTTACGTCTTAAGCTCTTCATCATTGAACCCCCAAGGGACCATCAAAGGAACCCTCTTACAACTGTTAAGGGAACACGGACAGACCCGATAGAACCGAAAAATGAACCCTTGAGGGGTTCGCTCGGACCTTTCGTCGCTTCCGCAGCTCCCTTTGCCCCGTCACTGCCTTGCTGGCATTTGTGTTGGTGTTCAGGGTTCAGGGTTATTCCATCAATAGATGTGTCATAAATGTAAGGAAATGGTGTAGCTTTTTGATTCTGAAAGTGTTACGCAATCTCAAAAGCAAATGCCTGTAGGGCTTTGTGTTGCTTGCGGTCTTTGGGTCAATCCCCCGGCGCATTTACGCTTCAGGGGCAGGGTTTCGGATGGCTTTCAGGATTTAGGACGTGGGTTTTAGGATTCGCGCATGTGTACTTAAAAGGATCATGGGACTTATTAAGTAGGGTTATATCTAAGGTAACTATACTTATAACCCCAATTAGGGGACTTATAACCTTACTTACTAAGTCCCATGATCCTCCAGGTACACCTAAACCCTAAACCCTAAACCCTAAACCTTACTTACTAAGCCCCATGATCCTCCAAGCAAGGTAGGAGAGTGCGGGACTTTCTTTCCGGAAGGATCGAACCATCCCCTGAAAAAGATCCGGGGCCTTGGGTTAGGGGTTAGGGTTTAGGGTTTAGGGTTTAGGGTTTAGGGTTTGGGGCTTAGAAGAAAGCCCTGAACCCTTTGGGGGTTTAGGTTGCGGAATCTGGACTGTCGAAGGAAGATCGACAACAAGCCGGTCTTTGCCATCCTCCGTCCGCAGCTGCTCGAGTCGTGCTCCGGTTGCCGTGAGGGCTTGCAGGCTTTGGGGCCAGGAGCTACTATAGAGGTCTGATGAAGGCGTATCTTCCTGTAGCAAGTTAAATGTCTCTGGATATAGATACTATACATACACTTCGAGGCTTGAGATATGGGTCAAGGCAGCTCTAGGGGCTTAGTTCTTTTGGGTGTCAAGTTCACGGGTTAGCATTTTGCTTACATTTTGGAGAGTCTCAGCTTTGACAAGGCAACAGAAGAAGTGTTTCAGCTTTGCTGTCCCGCGGGGGGTGGAATTGTTCGGCGCAAGATGCAGTGACTCATCACTTTGTTGTTATTGTTGTTCTCAATAATACAGTGCTTATGTTGACACCAGTTTGGATGCTTAAATGATTGTGGCCACTGGTTTGATAGTCGTTGATTGACAAATCGTGGTCATCACCATCTTCACAGGCATCAGCATCGTCGCATCATTAACACCGTCATATACCTCCAGGCCGAACGCCGTAGATTTCTCCTGCGAGTTCAGGGGAACCTCAGGAGAGCCGCCGTTCGGGGAGCAAACCACAGCAGCTGCAATCACGACCGCAACCACAGCAGCAAGAACAACTACTGCGACTGCTACTGCGATGACGACGACGACCCGACACTCTACTCCCTGCAAGACACCCTAAGCAAGCGAGGAAGCTGGAGCCCATGCTGAAGCTTTGGAGGAGCCTTGCGGTGTGTCTTGGCAATGGCGGGTGCTGCCTTGCATCTGGTAGGATTACAAAAAGGGGGATTCTTGGTGTCCGCCCGCTTGGTCGAGCATTTTTGCGTGCGTGTTACGGGCCGTTGGGCAATTTCCTCTGGAGCCCTACATTTCTAGTCCTGAGAACTCCTGGCCGTAGCTTTGGCTTGCAGGGTTTCTGCGACGAGCAAGGGAAGCAGCAAAGCACCCTGAGGAAGTCTAAGTTCTGTTCGGATGATGATGATGATGATGATGATGATGATCTGGAGGATGATGGTGAAGATCTGGGCGGTGATGGTGATAATGCTGGCGAAGACGAGTACAGAGATCTTGATAGGCATGGTTGTTTTATAGCAGTGTTAGAAAGTAGCACATGGTACTTGAAGGAGTAGTCACGAAGCGCAGTAGGAGGAGCCCCGCTGGGCATTGTCTCAGACTCAGAAATTGACACTTCGAGCAGGTGTCGGATGCAGAAGTCCGGTTTTCCACTTCCTTTGGTTGGGAGTGGAATATTGGCGATCCCGTCACAGACCCCAACTATGCTGCGTAACTGAAAACCCTACTCTATTCTTTCAAGCCCCCCTAATATAGGGGCCTAGATAATTATCTATACTATTTTGGGGGTTCCTGAATACAAGTACAGTATAGTGGGCTCCAAAACCCTATTCTAATTATTTAGGTCCTTATACTATGCTAGTTGATCTCAGTGGGGCATGGGCTCCAAGTCGTTCCTCCCACCATCCTGCAGTGTCTGCTGTGCATGCCAAAAAGGACCCAACCCCTTAAGAGAGGTGGGTAGTTGTCAAAATTATGATCCCTTTTTGGGTCCTTATTATAATACAGCACCTATTATTTAGGGTACCCCAAAAGGGACCATAATTTTGACAACTACCCAGGTATTGTAACGGGCGCTAATAATTAGAATAGGGTTTCGGGGTATATTATACTATAATTATGAATAATTATGATACGGAGCCAAAATATCACAGGTAGTCATTTAGGCCCCTATGTTATTATTATGAGCTTGGGGCATTATCGGGACACTATGAGCTACAAGCTACAAGGGTTTATACACTTTATTGCTACCTCACAGCTTATCGGGTATAGGTTATGTATAAACATATATACATATACATATATATATATATGTATATACAATATATACAATATATATATATATATATTATACTGCATTATGCACGTATGTATGCATATATATATATATATATGTATAGTGAAGCCTACGCCTTAAGCTTTGCAGTCAGCATGTAGAAGCACTTGCAGGGCCCTCACCGAAACCCTCAACTCTCAAAGGCCCTAAGCCCCAAACCCTGGACCCTCAAGCCTGAAGTGAAAAATCCTTGCTGTACACAGTCGGAATAGAGCACATTTAAGCCGAGAAGCCCTAAACCCTAAGCCCCTACATAAATCCTAAACCCCAAAGCCCCAAACCCATAAACCCTAGACCCTTAAACCCCAGGCAGAAGGGCTTCTCCGGCCTTTACATCCTTTCCTCAGTGGGACGCCGTTGCATGGTGGAAGTTGGGCTGAGGGTTCAGGGCTACTATAACGGTACTACAAGGGGTGTAGGGTTTAAGGTTTAAGGGTTCCTGGGTTGCTGTTAAGGAACTTACTTTAAGTTACCATAGTGGGGATATATAGCAAATTATAGGGTTTCCTTATGAGTATAGTAACTTAGTTCAAGTTCCCTAGCAGCAACCCAGGTTCTAGTGTTCAGGGATCAAGGTTGAGGGTTCAGGGATCAGGAGTTTCGGGTTTAGGGATTTATTGTAGCACTTCAGGCTCTCAGGCTTGTGGGGTTTAGGGCCTGTTTAGGGTTTAGCCGGAAAGGATCTCTATTTGCAGATCTGACGTCGCTTTGCTGAGGTTTCTACGAGGAGCACAACTACAAG